TGTCTTTTTTGAGACAGGGTCTCCCTGTAGCCCCACCTGTCCTGGAACTCACTATGGAGACCAGGCTGGCCTTGAACTCACAGAGATCCGCCTGCCTCTGCCTCCCGAGTGCTGGGATTAAAGTCATGTGCCACCACGCCTGGCTGTTCAGATTATAGCTTTTAGGACTGGAAGGGTGTTACTGGTGATTTTTCTCTACTCTGTATTTTCTCTATTATAGAAATGACTTATAAAATGAAAGAATCTAAGTAATGACTTTTAATTAACTGTGGCAAACTCACTGAGCCATGTGCTTTTGTGACCTGGACACCTGACCGTGATTCCTGGGAGCCACACTTTGCTACTCCACCCCAAGATAGTGAATGAATGTGAGTATGCCTGAGAATTAACGGCAGAATACAGCCCACATTGTCACTGAAAACAGTGAAGATTGAAAAAAATTGCTTGGCCTTGTGTGAATGAGATGTTTTAGGCCTAAGGATGGAAGAGCAAGACTGTCTGAGAAGAGCGGATCTAAGCTTGTAGTCCCCCAAAGTTGATGCTGGAGAAACAATTTTGAAGGAAAGTATGGGTGAAGCGTAACTCTACAGCACAGTGCCAAGAGACATCTGGGGGAATGGGTGTCCTCTGCATTTGGGCCCACTTTTAAAAACTAAAGTTAAGAATCAGGCTGTTTTATTCAGGCATTAACTATAATGTATTACAGGTATTAACACCACACTCTAGTATGCATTTTCAATGTTTTTTGTATTTTAAATTTCTTCTGAGTTTAGATTTTAGGAAATGGGATCCATTAAGATTGTTTAAAAGCATTGATATTTCTATTTTTTTCACTAGTGAGTTCACGCTAGAGTTAGATTCTGTTTCTCTTTGCCTGCCATTCCCACGTTTCCCTGGTGTTTGACAGATGGGCCTATTTCCATCCTTTTCTCTAAGCTGGATTCTGTCTCTTAGCCTTGACTGTTGGAACTAGATCAAATGCTTTCAGACAGACTGAATCTATGAAAGAAAACAGAGTATTAACAATATAAGGGCAGTGTCTAGACCCAGTGTTGACTATTGAGCGGATCCTATCTTTTGTTTGACAAATACAACCAAAATATAGTTCCCAGTATCTACTGTGTTCAAAACAGAGAAAGGAGACAGTTCAGTTATTGCATCACTTATTATGTATGCTTCACAG